TAGAATTCTGGCTACTCGGAAGGCTGAGGCGGAAGGATCGCTGGAGCCCAGCAGGTCGAGGCTGCGGTGGCCAGGAGCGGCCACTGCACTCCAGTCTGGGCGACAGAGTGAGACTCCAACTCAAAAAAAAAGAAAAAAAAAATTAACTGGGTGTGGTAGCACGTGCCTGTAGTTCCAGCTACTTGGAAGGCTGAGCAGAAGGATCGCCGGAGCCCAGCAGGTCGAGGCTGCAGTGGCCAGGAGCAACCACTGCACTCCAGTCTGGGTGACAGAGTGAGACTCCAATTCAAAAAACAAAACAAAACAAAACAAAAAACAGTTTTTAAATTTTAAATTTTTAAAAATATATTGTTAATATAAAACTTAATATTTTTTAAAGCTTTAGTATTTTTTAGCTTAAGTTTAAGAGGAATTAGGGTGAATATTAAACAGCTACTACCAGTAACTAATTAACATTTATTAATGAGGAAAAGATAGTCCCTGGAATCAGTGTTTAACGTTAACTCTTATAAATAAATACTTTATGAGCAATTTATCAGTAATAGGACTAAGACTAAGCTTATTAGTTTTTTGTCTTGTGTAACTCCTTTGCTTTCTCTTAGCCATATTTTCTTATCAGTAAAATGATGCTCTTAAAATCTTAGAATGTACAATATAGCAGGCACTAGTAGCCACATGTGGATATTTAAATTTAGTTCCTCAGTCATGCTAGCCACATTTCAAGTGCTCGAGTGCCACATGTAGATTATTTATTGAACTGTGTATAGAATGTTTACATCATTATAGAGTGTTCTGTTGGACAGTGATGTTTTAGATGGTCTTTAAGATTTCTAGTGGTTTTTCTGCTTGCTGTTCCTTTAAGTAAGCATTTGATGTTTGGACTTTTTTGGTTTGTTTTCTTCTGATCTTTCCCCCTTTTTGGTCACAGGTCAATACTTCTGCGAAGGCTCTGTAGTCTGATGGGCACTGTTTTCTTGCTTCGCTGCTTTACCATGTTTGTGACCTCCCTCTCCGTGCCAGGACAGCACCTGCAATGTACTGGAAAGGTAGACTGCTACCTTCTCTATCGTTTTTTTCTTGTTCTTGATGGGTTGATGTCATGATGTATGCAATAGGGCTAAGATTTTGCTTATAATATTAAAATATGCTTTTTGGTATTTGCGTATGTGTAACAAACCTGTAGCAATAATTTGGTGAAAGTCTTAAGCCGGAATCTACCTTCTTGTTATTCTATCCATTGACACTAGTGCTGTGCTGCAGAGCTATAGAAAAAAGTTTGTTTTAGCCCAGTGCCATGGCTCATGCCTGTAATCCCAGCACTTTGGGAGGCAAAGGCGAGAGCCCGGGGGTTCGAGACAGCCTGAGCAACTGGGCAAGACTTCACTCTACAATAAGTAAAAAAAAAAATTAGCCGGTCCTGTGGTGTGTGCCTATAATTCCAGCTACTTGGAAGGCTGAGGTGGGAGAATTGTCTAAGCCCAGCAGGTCAAGGCGGTTGTAGCCATGACTATACCATTGCACTCCAGTCTGGGTGACAGAGTTAGACCCTGACCCAAAAAGAAAAAGTTTGTTTTAATTATCATTTCCCCTACATGTTTCCTACCATCTCAGCATCATTAAAGTTCTTCACATGAGGCTGGGCACGGTGGCTCACGCCTATAATCCTAGCACTTTGGGAGGGCAAGGTAGGAGGATTGCATGAGCCCATGAGTTTTAAACCAGCCTGGACAACTTGGCGAGACCTTATCACTACAATAAATCAAAAAATTAACTGGGTGTGGTGGTGCACGCCTGTAATTTACCAGCTACTTGGAAGGCTGAGGGGGTAGGATTACCTGAGCCCAGCAGATGAAGGCTGCGGTGGCTGTGAGCGTGCCACTGCAGTTCAGCCTAGGTGACAAAGTGAGACTCCGACTCAAAAAAATAAATAAGTCAAATAAAATTCTTTATATGACATGCTGTGGTCCCTTCACTGTCATCATTCCTTTTAAAATGTTGCAATTTGATCATATCCTGTTCAAAATAATAGTACCCAACACTCTAAACTTTACTTTTTCTGAGATATATAAAATAATGACTGATTTTTGTTGTAGCTTGTTGTTTTGTCTGCTGTAGACATCTCTTCTAGTTTAACAGAGAGAAGGAATTATGCAGATGGAGACCAAAAAAAGGGTTATGAATTACTTTTAAAAATTTATTTTACTATTTTATTTATTTATTTTTTGAGTTGGAATCTCACTCTGTTGCCTAGGCTGAAGTATAGTGGCATGCTCACAGCCACTCAAGTGTGGACCTGCTAGGCTCTGGCAATTCTTCTGCATCAACCTTCCAAGCAGCCGAAACTACAGGCGTGCCACCACATCTGGCCTTTTTTTTTTTTTAATTTATTGTAGAGACGAAGTCTCGCCAAGCTGACCGGGCTGGTCTTGAACCCACAGGCTCAGGCAGTCCACTCACCTCTGCCTCCCAAAGTGCTGGGATCACAGGCTGAGCCACCAAGCCTGGCCTAAAAATGTATTGAAAGACCCTGAAGGATCACCTGTACTTTATATACAAAATTGGCTGTTGTGACTTATTAAATTTGGACAAAAGAATTGTATTATCCTACTTTTCTAGATCTCTATGATTTAGTTATGTGTTCCCAAATATTCACATGTATGTTTTAACGCCTTTGTTGTTATTTTAATGTTGTCTTAACAACATTCAAGTTCAGTTCTTATACTACAATATAAATAACTGAAATGCCAACATGAGAAGATTAAGCAACCGAAGGAGATCAAGAGCTAAAAATAGACCCCTGAGCTGAAGGGTGACAGAACTTTCTCTGGGTATTAGGAATGCTTAGACTGACCAGTAAGAAAGGGAGAAGTTTATGACAGGATTTCTTATAAAGGAGATGAAAGCTGTTTTGGGTGTTTTGTTTTGTTTTTTTCTCAAAAGAAAAAGTAATTTTTTCTAGTTATAAAGTTATATAAGCTTATTGTAAAACTTCAAATAATATAGAAATGATTATTTTAAAAAGTAGGGGCAGCCGGGCATGTTTGTTCATGCCTGTAATCCCAGCACTTTGGAAGAGAGAGGTGAGAGGATTGCCTGAGCCCATGGTTTTGAGACCAGCCTGAGCAATATGGTGAGACCTTGCCTCTACAATAAATCAAAAAATTAGCCTAGTATGGTGGTGTGGTTCCAGTTACTTGGAAGGCTGAGGCAGAAGGATCGCCAGAGCCCAACAGGTCAAGGCTGCAGTGGCCATGAGTGTGCCACTGCACTGTAGCCTTGGCAACAGAGTGACACTTGTTCTCAAAAAAAAAAAAAAAAGTAGGGGTCAGGTGCAGTGGCTCACACCTGTAATGCCACCACCTTGGGAGACTGAGACGGGAGCATTACTTGAGCCCAGGAGTTCGAAGCTGCAGTGAGCTATGATCACACTGCTGTAATCCAGCCTGGGCGACAGTTAGACCCTGTCTCTAATAAATAAATATTAAAATAAAAGTATTAAAAAGTAAAAGCTCACATAATTCCTTTTTTTTAACTCCACCCCATAAATAATACTCTTAACAGCTGTATATATAGCCACATAGCCTATTTTTAAGCACGCCTACAAACTCACATAAGTTTAGGCAGATTCTTTTAAAACAAAAGATAGGCCGGGCTCAGTGGCTCAGCCTGTAATCCCACGCCTTTGGGAGGCTGAGGTGAGTGGATTGCCTGAGCACACGGGTTCGAGACCCACCTGGACAACTTAGCGAGACCTCATCTCTACAATTAAAAAAAAAAAAAAAAAAATCAGCTGGGCGTGGTAGCGCATGCCTGTAATTCCAGCTACTTGAAAGACTGAGGCGGAAGGATCGCTGGAGCCCAGCAGGTCGAGGCTGCGGTGACCGGGAGCGGCCACTGCACTCCAGTCTGGGCAACAGAATGAGACTCCAACTCAAAAAAACCCCAAAAACCAGCAACAAAAAAAACAAAAGATAGGATTATATTGCAGACATTGTTTTTTTTAGTTTATTTTTCATTTAATAGTGTGTTTACTTTTTTATGAAGAAACACATATAGCTATATTAATCTTTTTAATAGTTGCACAGTATTCCACTGTGGTTACTAGTGTCCAAAAGATGTGGTTTTGGTTGTTTTCAAATTTTACTGTTTTGGTTGTTTTCAAATTTTACTATTTATAAATAATGCTACAGTAAACATATTTTTTGTGCTTTTTCACTAATTTAATTATTTTCTTAAGATAAATTATTGGAAGTAGAATTATAGAATTAAAGGACATGCACATTAAAAAGGTGTGATATGCACACTTGCAATGTGAGTTTTTCACTACTGCCAACACACACGCACATCTGTTTTCCCACACTCTTTCCAGCATTGCCATTCTGATTAATGAAAGCTGGTATCTGATACTTCTGTAGTCTTATATTTTAAATCTTAAATCTATTTTGAATTTGTTTCTATATATGGTGTGAACAGTTTTCTCCAAATAGTAGGCTAATTGATTAGAAGATATTTTAAAGCAGAAAAATATAAACTTATTACACTGAAAGGAGAATTTCCAGTAGCTGAGAGTTTTAATTGTGGGACAGCTGCTGAAGAGAGGGCTATATGTGAATAGGCTGCACCATTTGCTACAAAAATAAATTAGATACCATCCTTTTACAGTTTTGACAGCCCCTTTTCTGCCTCTGATGACTGTTTTTCATTATCAGTTGGTTATATGTGGATATTTCTACTCAAATCTGCCCTAAATACTGTTAATTGCTTTGAATTATAATATAGCCTACTTAGTGACCTGTATTATTTGCAGCAGTTGTTAAAAATAGAAAGTTAAGGTGATAGTAACTAGAAATCAAATACCTTACAGTGAACTCCATGGACATTTTTATTGTAATAAAATAATTTGCTTGAAATTGCATTGTAGGGGGTTTGGGAAAAAAATCAAGAATATGCCTGTTTTTGAAATTTAGAAACACTTAAAGCAACTTGCTTCACCTTGTCAAAGTATTCTATTTAGTTTTTATTTTTCTAAAAGAATATGTTCAAGGTGGGAAAGGATAGTAATTGAATAATTGAGGGATAATTGCCTTTTTTGGCTAGCACCACTTGTTTCCTATCCTTAGTCAAGACATTTTCTATTTCTTTTTTTTTTTTTGAGTTGGAGTCTCACTGTCGCCCAGACTGGAGTGTAGTGGCCACTTCCGGCCACCGCAGCCTTGACCTACTGGGCTCTGGCGATCCTTCCACCTCAGCCTTCCAAGTAGCTGGAACTACAGGTGCATGCTACCACGCCCGGCTAATTTTTTTGATTTGTTGTGGAGATGAGGACTCGCCTGCCCAGGTGGGTCTCGAACCCGCGGGTTCAGGAAATCCACTCACCTCAGCCTCCCAAAGGCGTGGGATTATAGGCTGAGCCACTGAGCCTGGCAAGACATTTTCTTAACAGTCTCTTCACTCTGTGATTTTTTTTGCTTTCTAAGAGTAACATCTCTAACCCTATACTCACTAGGTGTCATAGAACTAAACCATGTGTAATCTTTATTTTTCTTCAGTAATAAGTTATTCTCCCTTTCTTTCCCTCAACTGACGCAGAAAGGGAAAGCTGGGTAGTATATAATCAGCAGGTGAGATTTCTAATGAGGTGGTGGTATCTAATAAGGTTCTTTCTTTTGGTCATTAGCCATAGTAGAATCTTTAAGACAGAGGGCTTTGGAGTTACAGTCCCTGGGTTCACACCTGCCTATATTTCTTACTAATTATGTGACCTCTCTAAGCCAGTTCCTCGTCTGCACAATTGTATCACTTCTTTTTTTTTTGAGTTGGAGTCTCACTGTCGCCCAGACTGGAGTGCAGTGGCCACTCCTAGCCACCGCAGCCTTGACCTGCTAGGCTCTGGCGATCCTTCTGCCTCAGCTTTCCAAGTAGCTGGAACTACAGGCACACGCTACCATGCCTGGCTAATTTTTTTGATTTATTGTAGAGATGAGGTCTCACCTGCCCAGGCAGGTCTCGAACCCGTGGGCTCAGGCAATCCACTCACCTCAGCCTCCCAAAGAATTGTTCTGGAAATTAAATACAATAGCAAATATAGCACTTAGCAGCATGGCTTGCACATAGTAAATGCACATAAACTTTAGCAGTTTTTTTGTACCTTTATTGTTATGTGTTAAATGTCTTTTTTAAAAAGTTACTATCTTTTTTTATAAAGCAACTATCACTCAAACGCTTCCTCAAAATGGATTGCTTTTTAAAGTATATATTGTGGGAGTTGTCTTCTGTTTTTCTGCTCTACTATCCTAACACTTGACTTTTATCCTGAAGGCCATTTTGTGGTTCAAGATGGCTGCTGGATCTTAAACTATCAAGTATCTGAGTTGTAGACTAGAAGAAGGAAAAGTGGAAAGGTAGAAAAGACTTCCTCCAAGCTTCATAGCCTCTTTCCTTCATAAATAGCCTTCCCAGAAATCCTTAACACTTCTACCAAGATCTTACTGTACAGAACTTAGTCTCATGACCACACTTAGCTACAAGAGAGGTTGTGAGCTGAGCTCGGTGGCTCAGCCTGTAATCCTGCACCTTTGGGAGGCTGAGGTGAGTGGATTGCCTGAGCCCGCGGGTTCGAGACCCGCCTGGGCAACTTGGCAAGACCTCATCTCTACAATAAATCAAAAATTAGCTGGGTGTGGTAGCCCGCGCCTGTAGTTCCAGCCACTTGGAAGGCTGAGGCGGAAGGATCGCCGGAGCCCAGCAGGTCGAGGCTGCGGTGGCCGGGAGCGGCCACTGCACTCCAGTCTAGGCGACAGAGACTCCAACTCAAAAAAAAAACAAGAGAGGTTGTGAAATCCAACATTTTGACTGAGTTCAGTATATTTGAGATTCTGTTACCAGTGAAGAAGAGGAGAATGGATATTGAATGGTAGATATTGATTTCTGTCATAGCATATCTCATAGTGGCAAGAACAGCCAAGCAGATGCTACTGTGGTATTAAAAACTTGGAGATGTTTTGTGTTATATTGACCTTTTTATCATAAAAGAACTTCTAGTAGTGAAATTTGTATTAGAGTAATTTCATTTAATTACCAAAATATTTCTGACTACCACCAAGTTTCGCGTACCCATTCTTGAGGTCTGCCTGGAATTAAATAGACTGAGAGCATGGTTGCTTTGGCTTAGATCTTATTTCTAAGTCATTCAGTGTTTGAATTTGAATGGAAATGGACATTGGGAAGTTCCCACTTCTCTAAGTATTTGAAGTACTAATTCATAGCTTTCTTTGTAGATCTATGGCAGTGTATGGGAGAAATTACACCGGGCCTTTGCCATTTGGAGTGGCTTTGGTATGACCCTAACTGGCGTTCACACATGCGGAGATTACATGTTCAGCGGCCACACAGTCGTCCTTACTATGCTAAATTTCTTTGTCACTGAGTGTAAGTATCTTTTTAGTGTTTCTATGCATATTAGACAGCTAGCTGCAATGGAGGCTGTGGGAAGGGTGTCAAATCCTATGGGAGTGGGCAAAATAGCCTGACCTAAGAAACGTGACTGAGAAGCATTGGAAAGAATGTATTTTAAAATGATCTTTCTCTCCTTTCCTAGATACGCCAAGAAGCTGGAATTTCTTGCATACTTTGTCCTGGGTTCTCAACCTCTTTGGAATCTTCTTCATCTTGGCTGCCCATGAACATTATTCCATTGATGTGTTTATTGCCTTTTATATAACAACAAGACTCTTTTTGTACTACCATACTCTGGCCAATACCAGAGCATATCAGCAGAGTAGGAGAGCAAGGATTTGGTTTCCCATGTTTTCTTTTTTTGAGTGCAATGTTAATGGCACAGTACCTAATGAATATTGTTGGCCATTTTCAAAACCAACAATAATGAAAAGACTAATTGGATGAAGACTGTATCTTTGTAATGAGTTCATAACTAAATATACAGTAGTTGTTGAAAATAACTTTGCTTTCTCCCCATAGGTTGCTCCTGGATGCTTTGCTTTTTGGCTTACCTGTTGACAAAGTAAAATTTCCTGTTCTGAGAAAGGTTATGATTACAAAAAGCGAGATTGAAGAATCAAGAGTCCTTATGTAGCTGTTTGAACAGGAAGCTTAAGTAGATGTTTTCTGCCCCTTCTCTTTGGGAAGACTTAATGTTGTGATTGAAGTCAGGCTGTTACCTTTACTTGTTGAGTATTTGCTTATTGAACTTAAGCAAATCAACTTAAGCAGTTTGCTGGTTGAGGAATTTTTATTGATTTCCAGTACTCTAATAAAGAAATACTATTTTTTGAAGCTCATTATCTTTAGAAGATAAAACCCAGCCGGGCTCAGTGGCTCAGCCTGTAATCCCGCACCTTTGGGAGGCTGAGGTGAGTGGATTGCCTGAGCCCGCGGGTTCGAGACCCGCCTGGGCAGCAAGACCTCATCTCTACAATAAAATAAAAAAATCAGCCGGGTGTGGTAGCGTATGCCTGTAATTTCGGCTACTCGGAAGGCTGAAGCGGAAGGATTGCCGGGGCCCAGCAGGCGAGGCTGCGGTGGCCGCGAGCGGCCACTGCACTCCAGTCTGGGCGACAGAGTGAGACTCCAATTCAAAAAAAAAAAAAAAAAAAGATAAAACCCTATCAAGTGAGCAATACTTGTTATTTGAACTAATCTCTGTGTCAGTTTTAAAAATGCAACTCTGGAAAGTAATCTGTTTTACTGGTAAATAGTTTTTGCCTTCTGAACCATCTTTAAGAAAAGTATACAGAGTATACCAGGTTGCCTGAGGCAATAAGAGAATACAAAGGACCGCACATGAAGTGACAAAGTACTGATGAGGATGCCATCAGCTTTCTCATTAATGCAAATAGAAGGCTGGCAATTTTCACCAAAGATGCAACAACAGATACAGTGTCTATTTTATTCTGAGGGTTCGGTATGACCATCAACAAATATTCACGAGGGAAATATGGCTGCATTCATAAAAATAAGTGGGCTTAGTGTTAATGGTATAGGTACCTGGAATAACTTTGTGCTATAGTTGTTATATAGACTACAGCCCAATTTTGTGCTTTTTTAATGATGTTATTTAATGAGCCAAATAGGAGTGTTTTACCAGATGTCAGAGTTCTTATGTCATTAAGTAGGAAGGTATGCATGCACATAATTTTTTTCTCTTTCTGAAAAGAAATTTACAGAGACATAATACAGCTTTTTGGTTTTTGAAATTTCTCATTCTTGGCCATTAAAAGTAAACAGTCTCAGACATGTTTGCATATGAAAAATTTTAGTTGTTTTTGTTTTTAAGTATAATTGTGTACATACATTCTTTCTATTTAGTCTTAATTTGACAGTCAGGAAATGATATAACTTAGCTGCTGTTTATAACACTAGAAATTTAACATTTGTCACTGTCTTATTAATGATTTTTTATAGTAGATATGACAGTAGGGTGGTTATAGAATTGGAATTTGAACCCCAACTAATGAGCCTAGCCACTTGGAATATTAAGTGTGTAGTTTTTGCATTCCATTTTAAAACAAGGAGTTAGAAAAGGTGCTGGCATACTGAGGTCTAAAATTAGACCACACAACAGAACCTTGCTCCTTATCTGGGTGAAATATTTTATTTTTGCACTTTGAGTCATATTCTGACCCCTGTATAAGCTAGAAGCCTAGTGAATTGGGTAGGAAAGGAAATTATGCAAACAAGTACTGAATGATCCCAATTTGGGTCATTATTTTTTATTTTTCACTTGAGAAATGGCACAAGACAATTCAAATTGATTATGCTTTTAAATCTCACACGTCAGAATCTTATAATATCTTAGGTTTTGTATTATATTACCTGCTAGGAACAAAAATGCCAACAACTCATGTAAAGAGTTGCATAATTGTGAAAGATAAAGATTGTTTCCTATGCTCATTAGAGTGGTTTGATCCTTGAGGCCAAAAGATGTGTTACTGCCATTTTTTCCAAATGACAGAACAGAACTGAATTTAGCCAGGGAGGGACTGATGTTGGCTTTTGGAAAAATGTTCAGAAAAGTCTGTGGCAACATTAATTGAAAAATGTTAAGCTGAGCATGGTGGTGCAAGCCTGTAATCCCAGCCACTTGGGAGGCTGAGGTGGGAGGATTGCCTGAAGCTAGGAGTTAGAGGCTGCAGCAGTAAGCCATGATTCAGCACTCTAGCCTGGGCCACATAGTTAGACCCTGTCTCTTAAAAAATCAAAAAGTTAAATAACTGTTAACATCAGTATTCTTTCTTTCATATGGATTCTATTCTAGAACCAAATAGAAAATAGATGCGAGTAACTTTACAGAGCTATTGATATTGAGAGTGCCTAACAACAGACTGCAGTGAGGATTGTAAAATAAATTTTCAGCCTTGCATTTGCTCATATCTGTTTTGGGAGAAAGGTAAGCTAGATTTATAACTTATGTTTTACTATTACAAGTCAGTGTTTACATAAATCATCTCCAAGTCTCTTTCTTGGAAAAGTTTGAGACAAAATTATTTTCAGTTTTTCTTAAACATGAAATCTATATTTTAGTTTTAGTTGCTTTTTGTGTTGTCCAGACATTTTCAGATTTTTATCTTTGTATTTTTTCTTGTTAAAATCTAAACCATAGTGAATATAGTATTTATGTTTACATTTTTTTTTGTGACTGTGACTAGGTGGAGAAGCTACAGGTCTTAGATCTACATATTTTTTGACTTTGTATGTGGTTTTACAATTGCAGACTTTTGAGAGTCTTACTTCGTTGAAACTTTAGTATAGAGGGAACCAAAGAAATTTTGGTGTGGGGATGCAAACTGGAAGTTGCTTCAAGTCCTTGGTGCACTTTCTATGTTCTTGGGAGCAGTGTTGCCTTTTTCTTTTAAGACCAGGTAGGGTAAAGTTACTGAGGAGTAATTGAAGTTGGTAGAGAGGAAGAGGTTTTGAAGAAGGCAAGTTTGTTTTCACCAAATAATTTAGGGGAAGCATTTTTTGGCTGTCCTGAAGATTTTTCAATCTGGCTATCCTCTCCATAGTTGTGACCAGAATTACTAGGGCAAAAATACAACTTCCATATTCTGACTGTGTATTTATATCCTTTAAAATCAGAAAGGAATGAGCTTAGTCAATTAAATAATATGGGCTATTCACAAGAAAAACCCATTGACTGAGAGCTGGTGTGCAGCTCTCTGTGAACAGTGGTCTTTCCTACACTCTTCCTGCCTGTGTTTTTACTAGGAATTCCAAAAGTTCTATAATTTGTAAATGGGAAACAGGAGAGTCAGATTATTTTATAGCTAGTAAGAAACAGTCTTATTAGGAACATCTGTTTGGAAGGTGTTCATATATTAATAAAGTCATATTCATAACACTAACCTGCTTTGACTGTTTTCAGCAAAAGGCAATTTTGTCATTAGTTTCATAGTAAACTTTTAAGAGAAGAATAATAGATCTAAAATGCTAAAAATGTTAACCATATTCTTGTTTTAAACTCTCTGATTTAATAAATTTAATTCTTTGATAGTCCTTTTGTAGACTTAGGTTATTCCATACTAAAAAGTTAAGTATAATATAGTCATTTGTCAGTTCTTTAAGGTATTCAGGCATTTGAGACAAGAAAGCTCTTTTTAGAATAGTCCAATTGCTTTCTTAAACAGTATTGGTTTCATTTAGACAATTTCAGAGCCAACAAAGCATGTCAGTTTTAATACCAACTTTACTTGGCAGTTTAGAGAGTTTGTGTTTGTAGAAAGTTTAGCCTGAATTACCTCTGTAGAGGAGAACTGTTAGTAAGTCAGAATGCTTCAGGTGACCAGTTAGAATGAAAGGAGGTTAAGCTGGTTCAAAGTTTGTGTGTTTTTTCCTCTCTTTGAGTAGCTTTGAATGACTAAAATTCGCATACAAGTAGGTTTTGGTTCCCCCTCACCTTACCCAGAATTGAAGGCCACCAATTTCAAATAACTAAACTGTGACCAATTACTTTGTATTAAGTTCAGTACAAATATCTATGAAATCTGTAAGCCATACTTCTGCTATTCTGGTTGTTAGAAAACCTTCTTCCCTAAATTAACCAAAGGACTTTTTGTTCAGCATAGTCCATGTTTCAGCATAAGGAATGTTTGTGCCTGATATGGCAGGAGAAGAAACACTATGTTAATTTCATTGTTATTTCAGGTCTCTTTTGATCTTAGCTACTGGTTATCTGGAGATCTGAACATAGACAAGATTATCAGTAATTTCATCTTTAAAATGTTTGATTTTAATAATTTGTATTCAGAGAATCTATGGATAGTTAGAACAATGAAGTATTTCTGACATGGAACAAAGGAAGTGGAAGCATACTTAATGGGGGAAGCAAAGTTAGCTTGGACTAAAGTGGACATGTTTTGTTTTGAGAATTTTACCTAAATGTCTCCCTATCCACAGAGAAACTAGTATTACTTGAAGATGTGAAAGTTCCTGTGGTCTAGCCATACCTTGAAGCACAGTGTTGTACATAAGTAAAAACCTTGATTCTAAATTAAAATCCAGATTTAACTAATATATATTATTTTATATCTTTGTTGTATTAAAATGTTTAAAAACACTAAAAATAAAACATTTGAAAGTTGGATTACAGTTTTTTATTTAAATGTCTTTGAATTATTAATGCAGCTGGTCTGTTTTTTATACAGTGAATTTTAACATTTGCAAATGATTGAGCTCTGTAACTTTAAATCTGTAGTATCTAATTCCTGACATTTACTAGTTCTTAGTTATCCATTGATAAGTGAATTGAACTTTCTGCTTGTTTTTCTGTAAACTAGGAAAGAAAAGTGATCCTCCTAAGGGTATTCGAATAATTGTAGATTAAGAAGTTGAGAGGAAAGGAAGGGAAGCAAATAACTACTTATTCCTGGGCACATTAAAAACATTGTTTGTTTGGTTTGGATTTATTTTAATTGTAGATTATATAGGAAGATGCCTTTAACCTTTCAGGTGAGTTTTGGAGATAATGATGAGGAGGAAAAGGGTTGTTAGAGGCAGCCGGGTAGCCCAGAACCCTGGAGTAGTTGGAATACTACTGTCACTGGTGCAAGACCATATCCGCTTAATCTACAGCTGGATTTGTCTTCTTGATCACTGCTAATATGTATCCTCTGGTAGTGCTGATCTGTCTTGAAAATTCTGAGAAAGAGTAGTCCAGAACAGACCTAGAGGGAGTTTGGTGTAATAGAAAATGTACTGGATTTAACATTGAGCTTAGTGGCTTACACCTGTAATCCCAACACTTAGGTAGGCAAAAGCGAGAGGATTGTCTGAGC